AATATATATATATATATATATATATATATATACTCTAAATACTAGAATAAATAGTTGGTTAGATCTGATGTGGGCAAGAGAAAAGCTACATGCAGTGTTATCTCAGAGGCAATTGTAGATGTTTACTCACAAACATTGCTCCCCAGAATGGGTAGCCTGCTTTAAATGATGAAAAAAAATCTTCCTTAAATTCGGAAGCATTGATCGCAGAGCAGACGATTATTCCAAAACAAAGACATATCAAAGCAATCAGAATTTGTGTTACCTGTAGAAAAAGATGCATATGTTTTGTAAAATAAGAAGGTATTTTTTCAAGACTGCATCAAAGTCCTTATGATGAAGGCCAAACATGAGAAATTGCTTGGGTGTCTTAAGCTATCCTGAGACAGAATTTAAATGCAATATTTTCTAGAATCATCAGGCCCCTCTAAGAATGGATACAGGCATGATCTGATGCAGGGATGGCCAATGCATTTCTCATGTGCCTTTATTTACATAGTCATGGTAGACATCAATAATTGTTCTTTCCATCGAGGTGCAGACAACAATTATTAATTTGATATTCGTGATATTAACCCACCAGCAACTGACCAGTGTTGGCAGATCCTCTTTGCCATTCTTCTCCTAGTCTTCATGAGGAAATGCTTCTCTCTACTCAACCAGGCCCCATGTTGCCTCCTCATCTACCAGATTTTTCATGCCTCATGAATCCAAGTGGGGAAACTGTTCATACACCCAAATACTCTGGCTCAGAGTAGAGCCAGTTCTACTCTGGTTGATGTGGGAAGATGCTCACTCACCCCCAGGAATTCCAGCTCCCTCCTCAAAAACCTTAGCCAGGTACTGCTTGGTGGGGCTGAGGCAGCCTCCTCCCGTAAGGCGTTATCATGGAGAGATACTTCCGAAAGTTCGATCTGGGGCACGCTGTATAGTTTAAGCAGAAATTCAGCCGTGAGAAAATTCTCTCTCTGTGAAGTTCTCAACTGACAGGAATGGGGGGGGGGGGAGGCGGGGATTGACTATTTTCTCAAAAACAATCTTTCAGTGAAAGTCTTGGGGCGCCTGGGTGGCGCAGTCGGTTAAGCGTCCGACTTTAGCCAGGTCACGATCTCGCGGTCCGTGAGTTCGAGCCCCGCGTCGGGCTCTGGGCTGATGGCTCAGAGCCTGGAGCCTGTTTCCGATTCTGGGTCTCCCTCTCTCTCTGCCCCTCGCCCGTTCATGCTCTGTCTCTCTCTGTCCCAAAAATGAATAAACGTTGAAAAAAAAAATTAAAAAAAAATAAAATTAAAAAAAAAGAAAGTCTTCATAATAATGTATAAGAAACTGAGTCAAAGTTAGTGGCCAAGATCACTGTCTGGCTAGTGATTAGATGAACAAAATGGAACAAAAAATGAGCCAAGTCTTCTTATTCTTGGTGTGGGGTCACTACCAAGTTCTTTCTCAGTGATCTACGCTGATAAATAAACATAAAAACAAACAGACGCGTTTACCTGTGTCTCTCAGTCTTTTTAACCCAGAAATGGACCTGAATATATTTTGCCAATGACACACTCACGTTCATGTGCACAAAGGAATGGCTTTTAAGGGCTGATTAAATCTCTATTCTTGTTTTCAGCCTCAGAGGAGGCTAACCAGAGCTACTGTCCTTTCTAAAACTTTGGAATATACTTAACATTTTGCAATAATATTCAGTCCAATATTGATTCCCAAAGCTCTGTCATCAGCCTCTCCTAAAATCTCTAAAAGGAAAGTCTTAATAACATGCCCATCTTCAGTATTCAAAGGAAAACTGAATTATGCACCTTCCCCACCACCCCGTTGTCTCTCTAAACAGTGGGACAGGATTCCGTGGAAGGAGATTCACAGAGATTAAACCAGGGATGAGCCCAGGGTTGTTTTGAAAACCTTCTCTCCCTGAACACACCTCAGATGCAGAGGCAAGAAATCTCAATCTTCGTTAGTACGAAACTCCCCTACCTCAACCCCACAATATAAGGTCCTTCTGTGAGGAAGTTCACGTTATTCCCAGTTCCCAAGCTGAGCGAAAACCTTCCTCCCCATCACCCAGAGAGAACGAACTACTGGCAAAGTATAGCAGATAGCTTCTTTATACTCGATGTATTCATTAAACCAGATGGGTCTGTGCCTAAATCCATGAACTGGCGTCTCCCCGGCACTGTCACTATCACTGGCCCACTGGGAACAGAAAGAAAACAGTAGCCTGTACCTACCTGGAGGGGCTTTGTGACATTGGGAAAGCAAGACCTGCCCTGCTACTACTTTCTGTGTCCATTTTTCACGAGCTGAGCGAGCGACCCGTGAAGAATGCTGTTACGATGAGCCTTGCTGGGCTTCCTCTCGCCGTGTGCTCCAGATGGTCAGTGAGGATGGGTTGTCTCATGACCTTGATGACTATCTTCATACTCAAGGCATGTGTCCCACAGATAAGCTTCCCAGCTGATATAGAGCAGTAGGTTTGTTTGTGGTTTTGTTATATCGAAGAACAAAACTGAGGGACTGAACAGGGACAAGTATGGAATGAGGAAATTTGAGACTCCTGGAGAATAGACCCACCTGCGACCCGGACCATTTACAGAACCAGAAAGAACAAAAAAACAAAAACAGTTGAGTGGAGACTGAGGAGGTGAGAGAGAACCGCAGGACAGAAAGAGATGTTCTTCTCTTCTGGAGCTTTCTCTACTTGGCCGTTTCTGTGCCAGAAGTTTCCCAAAGGTACCCTTGAGAAGCCTGTGTTCCCTGTTTATTTTTTTTAAATGTTTATTTTTGAGAGAGAGAGAGAGAGACAGAGAGGGGAGGGGCAGAGAGAGGAGACACAGAATCCGAAGCAGGCCCCAGGCTCTGAGCTGTCAGCACAGAGCCCGACGCAGGGCTTGAACCCACAAGCTGTGAGATCGCGACCTGAGCCAAAGTCAGGCGCTTAACCCACTGAGCCACCCAGGCATCCCGTCTTCCCTGTTTAAAGTGTACTTGCCTTCACACACAATCAAAGGCTGAAACACTGTCTTCAAGTGTGTCTTAGCCTCTGGATCTCTGAATTGGTCTCTGACTTCAATATTTATTGTCTTTCTCTCTCTTCCTGACTTTTGGACACTATATGTATGAGTCTGCAGCAGACAGGCTCCAAGACTGGACAGGAAGAATGCCATGGGCCTTTCCTGATAGAGTGTGGCAGCTAAGTGTTCACACAAAAGACTCCATGAGCTCCTAAATGTTACACTGACTCTGCTGCTTTGATTTCTGTGATGGTGAGGATGCGGCCATGGAGAAATAAGGGGCGTGAACTTGGTAATAAATCTTATAGGCCGTTTTGTAGCAACGTGGATGGAACTGGAGAGTGTGATGCTAAGTGAAATAAGCCATACAGAGAAAGACAGATACCATATGGTTTCACTCTTATGTGGATCCTGAGAAACTTAAGAGAATCCCATGGGGGAGGGGAACAAAAAAAAAAAAAAAAAAAAAAAAAAAAAAGAGGTTAGAGTGGGAGAGAGCCAAAGCATAAGAGACTGTTGAGAACTGAGAACAAACTAAGGGTTGATGGGGGGTGGGAGGGAGGAGAGGGTGGGTGATGGGTACTGAGGAGGGCACCTTTTGGGATGAGCACTGGGTGTTGTATGGAAACCAATTTGACAATAAATTTCATATATAAATAAAAAAAAAAAATAAATAAATAAATAAAATAAAAAATAAAAATAAATAAATAAATAAATAAATAAATCTTATAGGCCGATCGAAGCAGCATCGGACCGAGCAAGGTATCTAAATTAGGGTCCCAGCTTAATGAAGGTGCTCATTTTAATAGCATAACTAGCTAGAAAAATGAATACACAGGTTAAGATTCACAGATCTGGGATTGTTTTATTTGAGTTTAACTACAGACATAACCCAGAGTGGCTCTTCCTTAAACTATGAGATACTACAAATTGCACCTCTAGTCACCTGCAATGTGTCTCTGAGATGTGATAAAATTCCCCCTCATTCTCCAGGAAACTGAGATATGTGTGTGAACAGAGGACATTACATGATATATAAGCATACCTTTCATGACAGAAATTTACTAACCCGTGTGCCATCTTCCCACTGTGCCTCTGGCAACTTGTGGACCTAACCAATGTCTTATTGGAATTAAGAAATAACACTCCTTACATGTACCCCAATGTTTATAGCAGCACTCTCAACAATAGCCAAATTATGGAAAGAGCCTAAATGTCCATCAACTGAAGAATGGATAAAGAAGATGTGGTTTATATATACAATGGAATACTACTTGGCAATGAGAAAGAATGAAATCCTGCCATTTGCAGCAACATGGATGGAACTGGAAGGTATTATGCTGAGTGAAATAAGTCAATCGGAGAAGGACAGATGCCATGTTTTCACTCATATGTGGATCTTGAGAAACTCA